GGAGCCGCACGGCAGCGCCGCAGCGGGGCTGGGCTGGGCTGGCTCATCCCGCCCGGGGCGGCCGCACACAGACCTGCTGAGCCGGGGCTGCCTCCCCGTGCAGTCACCTTGGGTGTCCCCGCCCGAGAAAGCCAAACTGGATCAGCTGCCCGTGGGTAATCGGCTGCCCTGCCGGAGGCTCTTTGCGTGTTTTCTTCTGTGGGTAGTAGCACCTTTATCTCAAGGGGATGGTCCTGGCTTGTTATCCCTGCATCCAGGTTGCCCTACATTTTTTTGCAACACGAAGTTACCGGATGAAGACCACACCTAACAGACAAGGAGCCACATCTGCAAGCTCTGATTCACCACTTTCCTGTGGGCATCCTGGCTGACAGGTGATAGATACCTCGCCGTGTCTATATGGCCCAGGAGCTATTATTTTTTGGCAATTTATACACAGATGAAAGCCATGATATTTTCTCAAAAGATAGAAGATGTAGCCTTATCTTTAGAGGGAAGAGAAGAATGAATTTAGGTATTGCATTCTTCATGTAAAGTACAAAAAAATCGCTGCATTTACACTCTGCAGATAGCGGTGGCTGTAATTATATTTTGGGAGGCCTGTCAGTCAGTATGTGATCTATATGATGTGAAAAAGCCTTTTGGACTGAAGTCTTTGGGAGACTTTGGAGGGAATTCAAGAATTTTAGGTTCAGCTTGGTTGAGCCATGGATTAGGATGCCTTGGTGCTGATGTCCAATGGCCAGACCTAGGCGTGTGCCAGGTTGCAACTTCAAAGTAGAAATTAGGTGCTGCAACTGCAGAGCACCTCCCATGTGTAGGCAGCAACAGACATGTTTGGTTTTAGATTGAAATAATAAACCAGTCACTTTTCCATTTTACATTTACAATTTAGGCAATTAAATTTGTACCAAGTCACATTTTAGGAGCCAGTCATTTACTGGATTTCACCCTTACTGGCTACTTGTGAAACTCTCTGCCTTTGATCCTATTGATGCACCATAAATGAGACTACACTCATGAGATTCTGCTCATTCTGTGTAAAAGAACATTTGAGGACAAAGAAGTAGGAATTTCACTTCTTGCCATATGGAAGACATGCAGCTCATCTCTGTTTAGTTGGATCCCAAGCTGTAGCTGATCAAATAACTCCCTGATTACTCTGGCCTGGACTACAGCAACAGAATGTTTGTGTAGGTTACTGTGGCAATGATTTCCAGTTCTGATCAGAAATGCTGGACTGAGGATAACTCTTTTTTTCTCTGTGACCTCAAGCTTAAGGCTCAGTCCTGGAATCTTGTTTGAGTCTGGGAAGTATTTCCCTCTCAAAGACTCAGCCCTTACCTCCACGTACCAGGGGAGTGCTGTGCTGATACGTGACAACATTTTTTAACCACACCAGTTGCAGAACCCAGGCACTCACTGACTTGGTGGTACTTTCTGCCCCGTTTGGTTGCATATCACTTTGTGGTTCAGATATGCACTTACCAGTTCGATGGATTCATGTTTGTTGCTTGCTGCCCTCTCACTTGTATTTTCATCCTTCAAATCAAAAAGATTCAAGTAACTCCCCCCCAAATAGTGCATGCAGGAGCTGATAGCAGGTGAATCTGAAGAGTTTTGAGGGCTGCTGTCTCCAGATCATGAATTTTCAGCCATTTGCAAATTGCTCATTTCTCCATTTCTGTCTTTTGCATGTGTGTAAGCACTATTTTTTATGATAATGATTTGCTAATTCACAACTCCATACTTCCTAAACAGGATGTAAAAGATGAAGTTTAATTTAAAATGGCATGTTTGCAATTGTGTACAAATTAATGGAAGGGTATTTATTGAGTTTGAATCAAGTGGATTAATCTGGCAATTAAAAATAATTTGTAGAATTCTTAAAGTGTTCGGAATTTCAAGAGAATGATTTTATTTTAGTTTAAGCTTTTGTATTTGTTTTCCTGTTTGCTCTTTATTTCTGTTTGAAAAAAAAAAAAAAATCAGTGCCAAGTTTTGGGATATCTACAAATCCTCTAGAGGGCAAAATACATTTAACTTTAGTTCTCTGAGGAAACAAAAGGGTAACTCTGCAAATAAGCTTTGGAAAATTTAAAACATCCTCTTTCTTTGTGGCTCTTGAGCTTTGATTCTCAAGTGTACTTAAGTGCCTAATTAAATGGGAATTAGGTGTTTGAATTCTTGTGTGGCCCTAAGCCTCAGGGTTTAACTGCCTTTGTGACACTCTGTGCCTCTCGCCTTGCAGGTGTGGGTATGGCTATGAGAAAAATGGGAAGCATGGCCAAACCAGACGTTTACATCATTAAGGATGGGGACACAATCACCATGAAAACAGAAAGCACCTTCAAAACTTCACAGTTCAGCTTCAAGCTTGGTGAGAAATTCGAGGAAAATACATTAGATGGCAGGAAAACTCAGGTAAGTATACTAGACTTTCTGTTAAAAAAAGGCAATTCTTTCGGTGCTTTACAGAGGGAAATGCTATTTTAAAATCGGTTTTTAATATCCACTCTAGCAATGCTTTATCTGATGAGCAATTGTCTCTGCAAGTCTCATTGATTTTTTTATTTTTTTTTAACATGGATTAAGCAAATTCCAAACAGGGAAAATGCTGAAATCAATAGTCTTGTGTATTTTGCCGTTTTCATTTTGTAGCAGAAGCATTTTTTTAGTAAAACTAACAGACCTCTAAATCCCTGTTAAAGCCAAATGCCACTTCATTTGAAGCCTGTGGAAAAAAATGCCATTGATGTTTAATCAGAGGCAATTCAGCCCTAGGGTTAACCTTTCTGCTCTGTCTCATATTTGCATAACAAGAGAGCCTGGTTCAGTGTGGGGTGGGATCACAGACTGCAATGCAACCATGTGAATTATAGTCACTAAACCCCAGTTTTAGAAGGCAAAGAGTTTCTCCTTGCCACCTAGTAGGGAGAATATTTATCCCAAAGGAGGTAATACACAAAGGATACATCTCATTTCCTTGTGTGAGCAATCTCTGTTTATCACCCCCCTCCCTCCAGCCACACACTTTCAGTTCATCTATTACTGCAAAATCAGATAAATGCTACACAAAAGCTCAAAGCCCATGTAACAAAGAGATGAGCAGAGAACATCTGCTGGATGCTGTCAAAGGTCTGTCTGATGCAGAAATGTGTCAAAGCAGTGAGTGAATGTTACTGTACAGTGAGTTAGTTACTGTAAGAAGAGGGTTGATAATGTTTAAGATAATTTCTGGCTTTGTAGTTGTCAATGATAAAATTATTTTTGAGTGAACTGGGGTGGGAATCTTTCATTTGGAATAAGGTGTTGAAAAGCCTCAGTGCTGCCCAAATGTCATGGGAAAAATATTGATGGTCAGGTTCTTCTTTCAGACCCTTGTCAGCTTAAAAGATGATGGGTCATTGATTCAGGAGCAGGAATGGGATGGCAAGAAGACCACAATAACAAGGAAGCTAGTGGATGGACAACTGGTGGTGGTGAGTTCAGTCCCACTTTCTGATCCCCAGGTGCTGCTGGTTGGTAGCCTGAAATGTTAACTCTTAATGTGTCTTTTTTCCCCTGTTGATCTGCACAAAATAAATCCATCTTTTTATCTTCTAGGAATGTGACATGAATGGTGTCAAGTGTGTTAGAGTCTACCAGAAAGCATGAGGACATCTTCAGGTTCAGTAGGAACTTGCTGCAAACAACTCAGTTCAGTGGACAGAGCTCCTTTTCACTCCTTATTTTCCTTTTCCCCGTTTTCTAGTATTTCAATGGACTGAGTAGCTGAGTGCAATTCTTTTTAAAGGCCGTGATGTAACTATTATGTAACTATTCTGAAGTTAGGCTATTAAATAAAATTGTTGAATATATGAAGTGGAAACGTTGTTACTATAGTGGAATTTTAAGTGAGGCTTCATAAAAACGGATCTGGTTTTAGGGTCTACTACAATCTGCCTTCAGCACAAGACAAGCCAATATATTGCAAACAGCTCTAATTTCTAAAACAGTAAAATCCTTGATTGGAACAACTCCACAGCCCAAACTTTGAATGCTTTTTCTAACCTCCATGTTACAAAGTAAATAGAATTGCCTGGGTATTACTACGAGATGAGCTAAACTGGTGTTTAAGTAGAGGAATGGATTTTCAGGCTTAGTTTGGTTTTGTGTTTCAAACCCACATTTTTCTTAATCTCAAAATATATATATATATATATACCAATAAGCCAATGAACTTGATAAATCTAGGCAAGCACATACACACTTTCTTGAAAGGAAGCCTTATTTTAAGAAGACTTCCTAGCAAAACTCTTATTCCATGTCTAGTAACATTCTAAAAAATTGTAACCAAAATCTGCTGAAATACTGCCTAAAACCTAAAGCCTCATTTATTTTATTTTTTTTTAACTTGTTTGAAACACCAAGCAATGGAGTTTATATGCTTTGAAGTGCCATAATAAATAATCAGAAATATCAGTGTCTTGAGTATTACTTTTACAGTGGTTGGGAAACAGAGCCAACAATGCTATATTCTGCCAAATAGATGTCCGATGAGATAAAAATTAAAAAGTTTTAGGTGAATTTCTGTGATACCAGACAACTATGTCCTTAAAGTGAAACCATTTGGAGACAGGAATGTTTCCATGAATTCAGTAGCCTGTGGGATCATGCAATTACACAGGTCCTGTTTGCTGCATCTGTCATTGAAGAACCAATTTTTACTTCTGAGATTGTAGCTGCTCAATGCAGTTATCATCCTACTGTGCTTACTCAAATACAAAAATCTGTTATTTTGTGTTCATTCTGCTAACAATGGAAAGCGACTTTTTCCATAATTTTGGACCATTTATCCTTTTTTATGACTACTTATGGTGTCATCCCCTTTACCTCTGTCCTCAGAAAGCATTTCTCTCTGGAGAATATTTCTCGCAATTTCTTTCCATGGCTCCTTTTTGGGTTGTCAATTTTCACATTATTTTCTAGTGGTATTTTTCATCATTTTAAAATGAACCCCAAAGACTAAGTGTAGTCTTACACAGACATTAGAAATAGAAGGAATCTACCCATAGAAGTAATATGGAAAACAAAGTGATCTGATAAGGGATCTACTAAACTGCAATCAGGCGTGATATGAAAATCCTGCCTCCTTTCCTAAAGACAGTGTTGCTGTTTTCAACTGGGCATTAAGCCCTCTGTGGGGTCACTGCTCTATCACTTACCCCTGCTCATTTACTCCTGATCCTGGCTAGTGTTAATTGTTTATCTTTCATTTGAATGGAAAAACAGTCCAATGTCTTTCATAGGACATCCGTTGTGATTACAATGAGATCACTTCTTGTAAAACAAAAGGCAGAAGAGTGTCTTTTTAGAGTGATTTCCTTTGGAAACAAGGCTTATAAAGTCTGTGTATCTGTGCTCTCCAAATTTCAGCCACATGTGAAGAAGAGGCTAGAGGTCCCAAAGATAACTATTCCACAAATGTTATGAAAATAGGCGTCCTGATGAAAGAGATGGACCATTAAAGTACCTTGATGATGGAAAGACTGCACACGGAAGTGACACTTTATTTGACATTAAATGGAAGAAAAACGTATCTAGGTCTCTTGGCACACATAAGTTTTCTTAAACAGAAGCTGACCAATGATAAGAGGTAGATAAAGAGGGAAATGGAATTCTTTAGAGCTAATTCTCCAGAACTACTTAGTCTCACATATTTATTTGCTTTATTTTGATAGCTCCAGCCTCAGTTGCCAGTAACTTCAATGTAAGTATAATGAGACCCAGAACTTCCATATATACAACCTGTTTGTGTTAGATTAGACCATACACTTAAAATGACAATTGCTTTATACTACTGCAAGCCAAGATTTATGATGCTCAAGACTTGAGAATATATTTAGTTTCCAGTTTCCTCCCATTATTTATTATACTAGTAAAAAGCTTCACTCTTCATGAGTTTATATGCACAAGCATTCTCATCAGTGCAAAATAGCCAGTTGTCCTGACATTTGAATAATTTGAATAACTGTAGTTCACTGTATCACATAAGAAGGCAGAAAATAAGACTTCTGAGTAGAACTGAAAAAGAGGTTGTGCATTATCCAGCCAGGACTGCTTTATAATGCTAAAGAAATAAATAAGGCGACAAGATTTGTTGTGACATTTTAGTACATTTTTTTTAAAATACTTTGGAGGGATGAAAGAATCTCAAAGAGAAGCAGTGACTAAAACACATTAATTTAAAGACATGAGCAGTGTACAATTTATATCTTTAAATCTCACTGTCTTCTCAAATTGGTGTAGTTCTGCTGTTTACAAGGAAGAGGCTGCTGTTTATATTGTTCGTTTTTTTGTTTGTTGGTGAGTGGGTGGCTAAGTGGGAGTTTTTTTTGGTAGTGAAGTGGGATAAAGGAGTAGAAAATGAAGTTGTTTAGTAATTTAGGTCTGATATTCCACCACATTAGGGAAGTCTCTTGTTTGAGCTTTCCAGGAACACTAATGAGATGGCACTGTGCTTTGTGGAGAGTGTGCTGTCTCTGTATAATGCTCAGACTGTTAAGGATTTTCCTGTTATGGTTTGGTATTATGATTTATTTCAAAATTGTTATCCTACTCTGCCTGCCGTCTCTGAAATTAATACTGGCTTTTCCTCTTCCTCTCCCCTTCCTATCTCACACATGCCCTCCAGATCAAAGTTTTTTAAAAAACAAAGTCAACGGTAGGAAACCTCTCAGTTTTCTGAGGATATGATTCCACTGATAGCTGTCAGCTGTTCAGAAAGAGAGGAGTGCTTATTTCTTCAGGTGTGAAGATTAAGTGTAAGGAAGACAGTTTGGCTCTTCCATTGGCCATTTGGGCTATATTAACTGAGACTCAAACATCTGAAAAGCAAATTAATCCTTGAATAGGCACTCTTACTTTTTTTTTTTTCAGGTTAAGACTTAAAAATCTTGTATTGTATAAAGCATGTTATCCACTTCCACATCATATTATGTGCTATGAATTCTGTTGCTTCATAAAGCAGTCCATTCAAAGTAACTCTTATTAAGGTCAGATGCTGAAAATAAGTGCCCTGTAAATGTTTATTTGGATCCTAAGGGAGACCTGGGTCTCTGCCCAGAAGCCCCATTTCAGCTCAGCCTGGGGTGTCAGTCTATGTCTGAGCTGGTTGTCAGAGTATCAGTCTCCAGCTCAGATATCTTCAGATTTTACACAAAAATTCATTAAAACTAATTTCTGTGAAGGAACTACCATATTATTTATATTCTACATAAAATGGTTTAACAAAAATAAAAACAGTAATGCAGACCAGTTCCACTCAGACCTTTGCTGGTGATTCCTTTCCTGCCTGAGTATGTGCTGACACAATGAATGGATTAGAAAGCTTTGCAGTGTGTTGATTATTTGTGACTGTAGGGAAAAAAATCCCAGTGTGAGAGTGGGTGGGAGTAAGTTAACATATATTAATTATTCTTTGATGCCTAATTTCAGTCCCATTGTTCAGCCCCTGAGAGGATTTAGCACTATTTTCTTAGGTTTTGGAGAAAATCCAGCATCTGTGTAAACACATTTTTGTCCCATGGTTCTTCTAGCTTTGGCTTTTCAGTCCTTGTACATCAAATTAAGTTTTTGTTGACACTTCCCAGAATGGTTTTACTTCATACTATTATTTCAGAGGAAAAGGAAACACTATGAGAGACCCTGCTCCCAAGAGTGAATTTGGTTTCCTTTCCAGCAAAAATGTTTTTAAAATCAATTCCCTCTACCAGGTGGTCTTAATTATATTCTGAAGATATTTACATGTGAAGTTCATTATAGTTTCAGAAGAAATGTAAAGTTTCTGCAATACATGCAACCTAGAACCAGTTTCAGATAACGTCTTACAAAAATCTGCTGAATCCCAAAGAGTATTGTTGACACTTTAAAATAAATAACATGTTTGTCATTAAACATAGATGCGCACTTTGAAATTAAATACCAGAGGACAAAATATCCCAGTCTGAGGACCATGCATACCTCTTGTCTAGGGTTGGACTTTTTGCTCCCCCAGGCAGTGCTCTGGTTCCCTTGGGAATTCCTGCTTGAAATCCTTGAGTCTGCCTTCAGAAGAGGTGTTAGCTAAGGGTGAGCTCATTGTGCAGTGCAAGTGTCCAACAGAAAACTGGGGGACTGGGTGCAGTTTTAAAGCTGGGAAGGCAGTGAGCTGCTGCTGCATATCCCAGGGGTGTTCTTGCTCTGTGGCTTGAATGTCTGTGGCATGTTCTTCTGGGGCCCTGTGATAAAGTCCTGTGTGGTGATCAGCAAATTCAAAAGCATACAGAATAGGATAGCCTGCATGGCTTGACCTCAAGGAAAACCTTGAACTGAGGTCAGAGAGTCCATGACAGGGAGTTTCTAGGGAATCTCCTAGAGTACAAAGGCTCCTTGAGTACATGGTAAATTGAGCTGAAGGCAACTTGGATTGACTCTTCACTCTAGAAGTTACGGCCAGGCCTTGTTATGGCAATTTAATTCTATAAGTAGCAGTAGAGTATACCTGTAGGAATTATTCCTATTTTATCGGGTAGTGTAATTAAGGGAAAATATTAATACTATCTCTTAAATTGAGTAAAGCAGTATCTGATGCTAGGGTTTGCTCTGAGTGCTTTTTATTGTCTCATCTCATTCTCCTAAACCGCCTTGCTTTGTCCAGGTTGCATAAAGTTCAGAAAACAAGATGTTTCTATTCTTTGACATTAATATTTTTCTGTTGGTGAGATGCAGAATGAAAATGCAAGGTGCATTTCTCTGCTGGGGGTATTGTTTCAATGACTGTATTCTTATTGCCCACTTCATGGAATACAGTCCTGAAAAGGACTAGCTTAACTGTTGGCTGCTTTTCTTAAACCGTGACAGGGTAAAGGAAGCCAATTGAATAGAACAGAAATCACAGACGCCTCAGTGCCTTAACATCCTCACTTCTCTTTCCCCTTGTTGTTAACAGTCCATGCTTATCTGGGCCTGAGCATTATCCTTCTGTATGCTCACTTTCTTCAGAAAGATTATTCTTTTTTTCCTGTTTTTAAAAAAGATTACCAGCTCACTCAGATTCCAAACATCCAGCTGTTGTGGTAAACTGGAACAGGGATTAAGAAGAATAAGAATTAATATGTGTATCTTTCCCAGTCTTCCCCTTCTTATTTTTTTTTTAAGCTTGTTTTCTTCACTCTGTTTTTCGGTACCAAGAGAATGATGAAAAGTAGGTGCACGACTTTCCACTCCAACTGCATGCAATGTTATCCATGACAGCCATCTTAAAAGTCTGATTTTAATGCAGTAAATGTCTAAGCAATATTAGCCAGAGGTTTAATTGTTTCCACATGCTCTTTGTTCTTATGCTTGTGCTGAAGTGGTTTTAAGCAGAATTTTCTGCAGTATTTAATCAGTATAGTCCTGACCTAAGAAAATAGATAGATATGTGTTTACCCAAAAAGCCA